TTACTTTTTTTAAGTACATATTGTTTATAAATTTAAAATTCGTTTTATGTAGTTTCTAAAGTATATTACTCCGAGTTTTCTGGAGAATGTGTCCGGGAATTAGGTTTTACGATCAAAATCACTCGGATCATAATCTTATTGAGGACGATTCGAGACCTAGACCCAAGGCTTAAGACCCTGTTGGAATGTCCATGAGCACAACAAATATACAGCACTTAATAGAACAAGAATATCAGAGTATAATATTAATATTGGAGTATTTTTTATCTAAAAAATGCTCGTTTGGATACAATTATTTTCGAAGATAGCTTTAAAATTAAGCTTAAAAGTTCATAGCTGAATTGACTACATCACTGTTCATTATCTGCATGAATTTATTCTAAATTAATGCTCTGAGTTCTAATTTTTATATGCTTACTTCGATTCGGAGAAATAACATGTATTGGTTCTCTTTCTTTGCAAAAGTCGTCGCATTTTTCCCTTCCAACCTAACGTAACACATGCGCATAAAGGGAAAATGAGCGTGAATTGAAGCTGACCCCAAGGAGCCATATCTGGCTAGCTATTAAAAACTCTCACAGCTTCAGGATGCAGGGATTAATTATTCAGCACACTCCAAATTTATGGATTCTTTTTTATCAGGAAGTCTCACCCAAGAGCCAGCTCTATTTTTCCATCTCACTTGCTCCCGCTGATAATGGTCATTATGGAACAGATTTATCATGGGATGGTTACTTCAGAGAAAATTGTTGATCGAGGGGAAATGCGTTCGTTTAACGCCTCCCTCTGCGGGGGTGGGGGTGTTTTTCTGAGTGGTATCGGCGATGACGTTAGAGAAGTAAACTTGTAGAGAGAAAAATATTGGGAATATGTTCTCCCGAAATAAATATATTTTAAGAAAATTAATTGTTTACCAAAAACAAAAAAGGATTTAAACAAAAGTATTTTTATATTTATGGATCCACACTAATTGTTTTGATTTAACACGACTCAAGTAATCATATGATTTTCAGGTATACAGTGCACCAGGACCGCTTTTAGGCTTAGGCACGCTAGTCAGGTTCCCAGGGTACAAAAGGTTTGGGGGCGCAATAATTGGAGGATGAAAAGAGAGAAAAAAAATTAAAATTACAGCGAATGTGCCCCCCGCTACTAAGGCACAAGATTCTAAATATTCAGAAATCTTCATGAAAAGGAGCAAGAAGATATAAAATAGACGAAATTCTTGGTTCTAAGTTGCTCCAAAAGCATCGATGAAAAGCAGTTTGAGCAAGAGTGTCAACGTTTCAAAATGTATGTGTGAAGGCGGAAAAAATAACAAGAAACTCTTTTTACATCGAGAAAAATAAGTTGGAAGAGAGTAAGAGATGTAGTGCATTTATAAATATATGAATACTGCACAATGTGCTGGATAATTAATTTAACAATTCTAAGTTCAGAAAATGTTTCATAATTAACAGTGACCCCAGGACCTTGTCATGTATAAAATCTTTATATAAAAAAATCTTCTGTGCGTGTGTATGTGACTAAACTCCTCCTAAACGGCTGGACCGATTTTCATGAAATTTTTTTGTGTCTGTTCCAATGGATTTGAGAATGGTTTAGATTCACAATTCGGTCTGATATCGCAATTAGTTAAAAAGATATTAACTAAAAACATTAAAAACATTCAACTTAATATTCACCTGCATTGTTGTAACAACGTTATTTTTATTCAAATGATGTAAGTTGGCGTCGAAAATCGATTTTCAACCAAACTGGCCAAACCATTGTTACAAAAATGTAGACGAATCATGCTTTTTAGCGTTTTTATAATTAATATCTTTTCAAATAATCTTTATATATATATAATTCTCCTGTGGTGTGTATGTGACTGAACTCCTCCTAAACGGCTGGTTCGATTTGGATAATATTTTTTGAGTGGGTTCAAGTAGATTCGAGAATGATTTAGCTTCACAATTCGCTCCGATATCGCAATTAGTTAAAAATGCGCCAAAATTATGTAAGGGCGAGTGATTGTTCATAAAAAAATCATGGGCAATATTCTTGAGGCCACTATTTTGAGCGGCAAACTTCAAGGTGAAGTTGTACTTCTACCACAGATCCCAATGATTCTTTCAGACTCCCCTACCCACTCAATTTCCAATTCGCTTGGCATTAGCTATGACCATTAATAAGTCACAAGGTCAAACAATGACAATTTGTGGTTTAGATTTAGAAAACTCTTGCTTTTTACACGGCCAATTATATGTTGCATGTCCAAGGTTTGGCAAACTATCGCATTTGTTTGTTTATACCCCTCAAGGATTAACCAAAAACATTGTACGATAAATGTATTTTTTGTGCATTAAAAAAATATACCTGTTATAAAAATAGCTCGAGTTTTATCTTTTTTACCCTTTTATCAAAACAAGTTTAAGTTTCTATTCAGAATAGGTTCTATATTCAATTTAGTTCATAATAAATACATATTCACACGCAATTGATACGTCGAATGGTGGTAACTGTACATGTGATGATGTCAGTCATTGCAATAACTTTCTTTATAAAAAATTTCATCAAAACGATCCACAGATTGTTTAAACTTATTCAAAAAAGTTTGTAATTTTTGGATGTAAGACGTGTGTGTACAGGACAACGTCTGTCGGGACCGCTAGTTATATATAAAACCTAATACTTATTTTGATCATTTGTATGGTTCATAATTAAAGTCGTATTGTAGCTTTGCGTCAAAGTATATTCTTATTGAATTCAATGCATTATTATTGCATGGAGGGAGGCGCATTGAAAATTATGATTGAAAATTAGGTCGCAAATATTGAAAGTTTCAGAAGGACTGCAATAAGGAGATAATAGAATTTTTTTTATTAATACAAACCATGTAGGTTAAAAAAAAACTTATTGGAAGAAAAAAAAAGTTATTTTTTTTATTCTCACAATAAGTTTATTTTTACAAAATAAAAAAAAATTTGCGAAAGAATTGGGATACTTTTTTTTTAAATTACAGTAAATACACACGTTTTAAAAAGTTAGTGATTGTGACAGTATATAAAAATATGTGCTTTTTTTCTTTCTATCCCTTAATTTTTAAAATAACCGCATTCCCAGATTTTTTTTTTTTTTTTTTTTTTTTTTTTTTATTTTATTAATATTTAAAAAAAAATTTTTACCAATTTTTTTTTTTTTTTTTTTCTTTCTTTCTTTCTTTTCTGATCAGTTATAGATAATATCGCTCGCATTTCTCTGTCATTTTTTTTTTAAACTGTGGGATCTTTTAGAAAAAAAAAAAAAATGCAATCAAAATGTTTTTGATTGGTAAAAAAAATATTTTTGAAACCAAGGCAAAAAAAAAAAAGAGTACTTTCTCTTCGTGAAAGAAAAATTTATTGGAAATGTTTCTCATAAAATCTTCATCATTCTTTTCTGTACTTGCCAGCGGTTTTAAATTTCACATTTTAAAAAAAAATTATCTGCGAGTACAGTGTACATATGAATAATAAAACAAATTGTTGCTCTAAATCTTAACTCTTTACAGAAAGAATTCATTTGATGAAACTCTCAAAAAATGCATGGGGGGAAATACAATAGCTTGGTAATCCTCGTTCCGAAAAGGCGAGCTCCCTGACTCAAATGACTGCAGTTAGTAATCCCCCTCCCTCCCTCAGTGGTGAAATTTTCATGAGATAATGCGCGGGGGTGTGTGGGAATCAAACTGAACTTTTCCCGCCAGACAATCGTCGACGAAAACTCGCGAATAAATCATTACATAAATCACTTTTTCCTTTCGTTCCAGGCCATTGTTTACTCGTCGCGATACCCCACAACTGTCACTCGATCTCTGATTGGTGGATTGGACGAATATGACGTCATATCAACCGATTTTCTTGATTGGAAACTCCAAATGGAAAAGGGAGGGGGAAAAAAAACGAACAATAATTATCGAACAGTTTTTCTGATTGACTCCATTCATTTTGCTGATGGATATTTCTCTCTTGTCTTTTATATTTGTGGGACAGATTTATTGAGAGTGAGGGAAAAAAATTACTTAAAAAACTAATATTTTGTAAAAGAAAACTCATTTACGTAGGAAATCTCTGCACTAAAAAAGTTTGTTAGGAGGAATGAATAATTAAATGGCAATACCAAGAGATAATTATGAATTGACAGCTTTTTTTAGTAAATGAAAAAAAAAAAAAAATTGTATTAAAATCAAAAATTTAGTAAAAGTTTTTTTTCCCAAATACGATGGAATTTTTTTAAAAAATCGCCAACATTCCCCTAAGTATTTTTGTTTTTTCAATTCCTACTATTAGAGTTCACTCTCTCTTCCCTATACATGTATATCTTGTTCAAATATTCAATCGTTAGTAAAATACTTTCTATTCATTCATTCATGTTCAAATGCATTTTTTTACACTTGTAGGGGATGACACTAGATGTTAATATAGTTTTTCAATTATAAATTCATTAATTAAATTAAAAAATGAATAAATAGTAACGAAAACAATAACAGTCCAACAGCATATATAGAAAGGGAAATAGCTCGTTGTGTTCCTGTAGCACAATGGGCCAGACCCCCTTGAAAAATTCCTGTGTGCGCTACTGCGCGCTGGACTTCTAATCCAAAGGTCGTGGATTCGAATCCCACCTGGGATGGCCTAATTTCTGCGAGAATGTGATTTCTTTTTTACTATGCTATTTAATTAAAATAATTAAATTTAATTAATAAATAAACAGTGACAAACAAAAAATAGTCCGACATCATATATAAAAAGGAAAAGGAAAAATCGCTTTCTATTTTGTCACTTAATAGTGTGATTCTGTCATATGAATATACATATTTATATTAATTGTAACTATTTAATAAAAAGCAACTAAAATAAATTTTTTCTTCGTTCACCTAAGTAGGAATTGACTTAAATTTTTTTATATTACTTTTTTAATTGTTTATTCAAGAGGAAAGAGAAAAAAGCTTTGCAGTTAGAATACGTACTCAATTAGGAATTATACCTTTTGAATTCAATAATTTCATACTGCTTATTAATCATTGGTTGATTAGATGTTGCATATTTAATATTAATTCATTATACCCAACGAAAAGAAAAAAAAAATAGTGGTCTTATATACAAAATGTAGAAACTTAACTGAAAACAATGATATATTCACTAAATCACATTTACACTGAAACTTGATGATCATAATCACTGTTACTTTTAAGACTAGCTTAGGGTCAAATATTTTTTGTGAAAAATTTTGTGTGTGTGTGTGTGTATTTTGGCAATGTGTATCTAAATCTTTATTTTTGATCAAAAGCTAGAATAATATAATCATGAGATTACTCTTAATCCTTAATATAAATCTTATTAATCATTTGACTTTTTTATTTTTGCCCAAATGATCTAGACATATTTAAGATGAAATTCGTAGATTATATTTCAGATTACTTTTCAAGATTAATATAGTTATAATTAAAAAATGGCTGTTATGTTTTAAAAAAAACAAAGCACAATATTACTTTCTTGAAGTCTTATATTTTTAATTCAAACTTAATTGATCTGTTTTGTTTTATTAGATGTGACACACCAATTCCAATAACCTATACTTATCATATCAACTGATTTGAACAATTTCTTTCTAACTCGATTTTAAAGATTTCGTTGGTGAGAATTAAATCTTTAGCGAATTCATCGGTGGAATAATTCTCACCCTGATTTTAATACTTACTCATTCCTTGAAATCAGTAAGACCAAAACCCCTAATGTATGCCCCCCCCCCCCCCTTGTACTCGCATAATTTACATGGACCTCGTCCACTTACTTCCCCAGGAAGTTCATCAAAAAAGAAATATTTTCTCAATGATAACTCACTGTACCGCAAAAGCAGAAAGCATACAAAAGAAATTCGACACTAAGATACCAATAATGTGCGATCTTTTGGATGTTTATCTTTCTTACCATTGAAAAATCATATAAGCTAATGAGATGACCGCTTCGAGGCTTCGTGTGTGGTCAACGGTTGGTGTGGGTCGCTTTCTCACTGTCACATCGCCTAAATACGCTGTGAAAGAGAGTCCAAAAGGGGGGAAAAAAGGCAACCCTAAACACTCTCACACTATCGCGGAATTGAAAAAACAGCACTCAAGAGAAAGTTGACATGACAGTTCCAAGCTATCTATCTCACTCCGCGTGGGAAATTGTTTTTGCTCTAAGACCAACCACATTGTGGAAGTAGAAGGCATCGGGGAAGGCGGCACCTTTTCAGAAGGATTACATCATTAGCTTACTTTACATCTCCGAAAAAGTATACATTGTACTATAAAAATCAATAACTATAACTTACTGTAAAATTCGGCGTATAACGCGCACCTATACTTTCAAGCTCCGTTTTTTAATTTTTAAGTATATTCGCCGTATAACGCGCACCCCCCTTTTTTTTCCGAAGGAACCGGAAATATACATGTACGATTCTATTATGTTTTGAAGTAATTTATTGTAGGTATTAAGCCAAGATTTTAAAAAAATAGTATGCTTCTACAATTATAACCTTTTTAATTTATTAGGCATGTTGTTCCTTTTAAATAAACAATATTTCGATCTATATAAAAGTCTAGTTTTTTTATGCTTTTTTATTTTTGAAGCTATCATTTTTATACCCGGCGTATAATGCGCACCCGTATATTTCGATCGTATTTTTTGTGTTAAAAGTGCGCGTTATACGCCGGGTCTTACGGTAAATAGAATAGTTGCAATTTAATGAAATTTATTTATTGTGCCAATTTCTCAAAATATCCATAGTTTCAAACACGTTAAAATTTAGAATCAGTTTAATGAAACACACAGATGTACCCTATCACATTTTATTACACTTATAGATTTTGGAAATTAGGAGGGAGATAACTTGCCCCTCACAGCCTGCAAGTTAATCTCAGCCAAATTGCATTTATATTTATTTTATATTTTATTGCATTTATTGCTGATCTTCATGTAAAGAAAAAAAAACTTTACTTGCAAATACATATTGATCCAAATACGGATCCATTTTCTGTCTGTAGTTTTCTGACTGTCTTGGTGAGCCGGTATGTGGCCCGTGGGCAGCTATTTGTTCGCATCTGCTCTACGCCATTGAAAATCTAGCACAACTTAATGACGACCTCTTCTAAAACTTATTGAAGATGCACTGCGCCATTGCATCGCTGTCACGTTATCAAAATACGGTGGAAGGGAATTTTATTATATGAGAAGCTTATTTTGATTTTCAAAACAGTCGTGGAAATAAAAAATTGGATTCTCTTTGCAAAAAAAAAAAATATTTTATGATGAGATGTATATTAGGTTGGGGAAAAAGAAATCCATTATTTTTTCGGTAGATGGCTGTATAGTGTCGATATCTCGTAAAGTATCGATCAAACAATTTCAAATTTATGCTCATTGCCAAAGTGACATTTCACACTAAAAAAAAATTCTTTTGCTGTTTTTTGTTTGGTCCATTTAGTTGTGAGTGACAGGATGTTACAATGGAAGTCAGCATAGAGAAAATTCGGTACATTTTATAGTTTTTCTTTGATAAAGGCTAAAATGCAAGCCAGGCGGCTGAAATTGTGCCGATACTGTAACAGCTAATTACGTGCAATTTTGGTTTCGTCGATTCCGTTCAGGCATTTTTGATGTTAAAGATGCACCTCGCACAGGCGGGCCCATCGTCGAAAATGTCGATAAAATCACAGAAATAATCCAAGTTGACCGGCATGTTAGTAGTCGTAGCATCGCCCAGGAGCTAAAAATCGACCATAAAACAGTTTTAGGCCATTTGCGCAAAGTTGGATTCAAAAGGAAGCTCGATGTTTAGGTGCCACACCAATTAACACCAAAAAACATGATGTATCGAATTTCCATCTGCGAAGCCTCCGACAAATAAACAATTTCCTCGACCAAAATTTGCTGCTCACAAGAAAAGTCTCCTTCTGTTCCGGACAAAAAAAAAATAGCCATTCCAAAAAAAAAAGAAAAAAGAAATCCAATTTTTTTTTTATTACAAACTAATAAAAAAAATGTTCCAGCTACAGAAATAATTCGTTAATTCGGGGTTTTTTTTCGTCTTCAGTCTAATCGGGGAAAGAGAAAATTCGTTAAATAAGGGTTCGTTAAATCCGGATTCGACTGTGTATACTTTTTTAATGTTTAGGAAGTTAGTTATATAATTAGTTAGTTATACTTCACTACTTTAAATTTATTTATAGATTTCTGTGTGTGTGTGAATCTGAATGTGTGCCGTGATAGCCTAGTGGTCAAGGTAACGGACTCATGGCCGGCGTGTCACGAGTTCGAGCTTTGCACCACTGAAGACCCACCGTGTAGGGAGGGGGGATGCTCCTTACATCTGTCGAGGCTCTAACATCCTCCCGTTGGTGTAATGTGAAAGTTAGGGAGAGGAGGACGCCAGCTCAGGTCTCGTCCTCGTCACTAGATCATGTTTCGAAATGACGAGGTCCGTTGCCAAAAGCCCTCGAGTATCTGAATAATGCGACGTTAATATTCATTTACTCACTCTCTCATTGAATCTGTTGGTGTGGTGTGGTAGTTAGGAGAGGGGGGTGCCAGCTCAGGTGTCGTCCACGTCACTTGACCATGGTTCAAAATTACGTGGTCCGTCGCCAAAAGCCCTCGTGTAGCTGAACAGTGCGACGTTAATATTCAATCAATCAATCTCATTGAATCTGACTGTAACTTATTTGCTGTTTTTTTATTTGAGTTGCGACTCATGTAATAACCAGTAAAGGTTCAGGAGAATTAACCGTTTTGTAATATCTCGAATTTCCATTTGCAATATGAACAGAAAGGAACAGAAAGGGGAAGCTTAGCAACTGAAACTGATTTTTAACCCCATAAAGCAGTTCTTAGTACATTACTGGTAAGAACAGACATAAGCAATGAATCACTTTAGGGCAAGAGTGGGCAGATAGCAGCCCGCGGGACATATGTGGTCCCCAGAGACATCTCAAGGCATGGGCCAACTGGGCCTGGGCCCAGGGCCTTGTTTCGTTCTCGACTATGTCTTAATAATATATCATGTGATCCGGACAATTTTAATTTCCAAATATTATATATTCCCGTACATATTCTCCGAATGGCAGGGCATTTCAAACTGTATGTCAACTGGAAAAAGTGGTAAGGCAGAATTATTATGCGATGACCATTGTCCATGTGTAGGCCTAATACCCTAAACAATCATTCAACTCATTGAGTCGAAATGCGGCCATCGGTCGAGGTGGTTTGTGCCAAGGTTTTTGAGATTGTGATTGATTGAATATTAACGTCGCACTGTTCAGCTACACGAGGGCTTTTGGCGACGGACCACGTAATTTTGAACCACATGGTCTAGTGACGAAGACGACACCTGAGCTGGCACCCCCTCTCCTAACTACCACACCACACCAACGGGAGGACGTTTCAGCTCTCGACAGATTTAACGTACATCGCTGCCCTACACGGTGGATCTTTAGTGGTACTGAGCTCGAACTCGTGACAAGCCAGCTACGATCCCATACCTTGACCACTAGGCTATCGCGGCCACATACCTTGAGAGGCAAACTAATGAGAATATTCATTTTAAAATGGTGAGACCGTTCGGTATCCTCGGCTGTGTGGCTCTCAAGCCGA